ATCTTCCCTGGATGTATCCATCGTTTTTAAGATGGACAGATGTTTGGCCTGGCTCTGAGTGCTTTTTACACCCAGGACAAGCTCTCACCCAGCCCACACAGCTCTGAGCTACTCCAAATCCAAATCCCAGCCTACACGCAGAGAGCAAACAAACAAACAAACAAATAAATAAACTCACAGATGCAGGTTCAAACCCCAGCATCCATTTTTCAGCCTGGAGAGGAAGGCAGGGAGGATGCTTGACATGAGATGTGATGTGAGCACTCCCTGCCATCCCTCTGAAGCCACCTGCCCCATCCCCTGCTGTGCAGGCACCGCCAGCCCCGGGGCCCGTGTGCCCTGTGCGTGCGGGCGGTGATGGATGGCTCCCCAGCCAGCACACCAGCCCTCCCCAGGGCTCAGGCTCTGCACGAGAGCCCTGTCAGGGCCAGGGAGCATGGCCCAGCTCAGCAACAGGGCTGAGCTCTTCCCAGCTTCCTCCCACGACGGGGCAGCAGCGCTCAGATGTGTGTGATGGGGGGTGAAATCCAACCAGGGTGGGACAAGGCTCTTTGCATCTCAAGTGCTCAAGGTGCTGCTGCAGCTGTGGAGGAGTCTGTGTTGCCCAGGTGGTGATTTGCCAGGGGACAGGTCCACAAATGCTCCCCCTCCTCCCTCAGCAGTGCCCTGTTTCACCACCCAGAGCATTGGGAGGGGGGAATATTCACACGCTCCAGGGTCACTCTTGGCTTCTCTGGTCATATATCCTGAATAAAAACCCACCCCAGAGCATGTGTCAGACCCAGCCTGCCTGCGTGCTGCCATTCCCCCAAACACAAACCCCACATCCTGGCTGCAAACCTGCCCCCAGCACCCTGCTGTCCCCTCCTCGCCTCTGTATGCCTTTAACAGTTTGCTGGATTACCCATTGCAACTAAAATAACAAAGCTACAAAAGAAGAGGGCAAACAGACGAGATATTCTGCAGCAATTAGGGCTAACCAGGGGAGCAGGGAGCAGGGAATGAATGGACAATGGGGAGGGCAGGGACGTGGCAGCCCGGGCTTGGACAGGCTGGGCACGAACTGTCCTCAGAGGCCGGGTCCAAGGCAGGGAGCAGCGAGCTGGACGTAAGGAAAGCAGGGAGATGAAAAGGGTTATTTAAACAAGCACAGGGCAGTCCCCACAGGGCCTCCCTGTCCGCTTGGCTTCATCTCAGAGTGCCCAGGGAAGAGCAGCTCCCTCTTTCCCCCCTCTGTGAGTCCTTTCAGGTGGCGGGGGGACGCTGGCAAGCTGCGGTGGGGTCCGCTTAGAAAGGAAGGAATCCATTAATCTCTCTGGTAATTACTGCCACATATGGATTTGCACAATTACACTTCGTTAATTGGTTATTACAGGCAAGCCAGACTGATTGGGCAGAGCGGCTGAGCTTTAACCCCTTCGCTGCCCCTCCAGGGCCAGCCAAACATGGAGGCAGCCTTCCTCCCAAAACAGTGCTGTACTTTCCTGCTGGCTCCCATGCAAAGCACAGCCCTCAGCATCCAGACACGACATCTTTGCTCCCATGCCTTCTTTTCCACCGGGGAGCCCAAAGAAATGGGCCCAAGGGGGAAGGAGTGAGCCTGCACCTCAAGACAGCCCAACTCCCCAGGCAGCTTCATCTGCTCTGGGTTTGCAGCAGACACACCACGGACTCCCCAGGGTGCTGAGGAGTGGCAGACTCAGATTTTGTTTGTTTTTAGAAGGAGACTGAGATTCCTTGTGCTCTTCGGCTCTGTGCCCTCAAGCCCAGCAGGGTTGGTGCCAAGGACTGAAGAATCTCCCCCCAAGTCAGTCTCAGTCTCTGAACTCAGCTTCTCCTACAGGATCTGCAGTGTAATGTTTTTCTTCCTCCAAACACTCAAAACAGAGGATTTACTCTAGCAACAAATGCATACATAACCAGAGTAAAATAAGCTGTAACAAAAAATATGGATTAAGCCCTTGTAAAAGTCTTAACAGCGCAGGACTTCTGCCAGGTGGGAGTAGAGGCAGCCTGGCCTCCCCACAGTGCCACTGCCACCTCTGCCACCCCTCACAGGTGGGTAATGGACCATCCAAAACCTGGCCCCAAAATGTGCTGTTCAGGACCCGCAATGTTTCTGGAGAAAGCTCAGAAGAAGCAGGCCGAGGTGAGAGCAACTCCTGCCAGAACTGTATCAAAGGCTTCCCATTAAAAAAACTGTAACAAGAAAGCAACTAAGATCTTCCCAAAATCCCCACAGGGCAGAAGGGCTCGTGTGAAGAGACAGATGTGCTCAGCAGCCACTGACATCAAGGGCAGAGCAGGCACTGGCATCCTGGTCCTTCAGAGCTGCTGTACTGCCCTTGGACACAGGAGAGGGCACGGAGGAACTGCTCCAGACAGCTCTTGGTCTCCCAGGGGCAGCCCAGCGAGGCAGGGTCTCCTGGGCACCAGGATGTCCCTTAGCCCAGGCAAGACTGGCCCAACAGTCTGACTCACAGAGCCAGGCATCACACCAGGCGCACGGTGAAGGCTTTCAGCTCAACTTCTGAACCACCCCAGCAAGCAGCAGCAGCAAGGAAAGAAACCAACATCACAGCAAGGTGAGAGAAATCTAATTCCAAACCACCCTCTAGCCTCCTCCTGTGGGTAAAAAAGTCCTTGGGGCTTTGGCTGAAGCACAAAGCATCTGCAAACAAACACATTCCCACTCTTTCTCCACTGCTGTCACTGCAGTCACTGCTGTCACTACAACACTCTAGGTTTGACCTAAGGAGTAACCTTCTCATTAGCTAATTAAAGTGCTTTTAATGTTCCATCTCCACTGCAAGGAGGAGCCGAGTAAGAAAAGTCTTCTCCCTCGGAAGTCACTGGAGTGACACGAAAGTTGCAGCAGCAGTTGTTCCTGTTGTGCCATGTCTGATTAAGCCCTTTCCTGACCCAGCGATGGGGCAGCTGAGAGGCATTTAAAAAACTTTTATTCCATTTTCAGTCTCAAGTGAAGGGTGAGACAATACAGATGTTATCATTCACGCCATCACAATCAGAAGCCAATTATTTCTTAATTACAAGTGTTTCTTGGCCTATCAGCTTTTGCCACACCATGCTGTAAATGCCTTAAAGCCAAGCATCTAAAATGACCCCTCGTGGGTCCTACTACAGTGCATCTTTCATAGTTCTATTTCTCTGAAGTACCTAGTCTTATTTACAAAACCATCCTTTGAAACTTGTTTCTAGTTCCATTTCTCTCTTAACCATGTCCATGGACACTTCCAAGCCAACATTTCTCATCTCAAAGTTTACATACAGACGCACACTATGTGAACCTTCTGTCAAGCTTTAAGAATTCTCTACAAATCCATTTGCCACCGTTGCAGTCCCCTGTGATTTCCCAGCTCCCTGACTTGGCCCAGACATTTATTTTCGTGCAAAAGGCAGCTCCAAGCTCGCTGTCTGCAGAGGACCATGGCACAGGCAGCATCTCCCAGCTCCCCGCCAGTGGTTTGGGTGTGTGTGAGCTGGTCCCTGAGGAAGGGAAAGGTTGCAGACCTCTCCCCTAAACCAACTGCCTCTGCAGCGTTCAGAATGAATCCTCAGAGCTGTCAGGGGGAAGAAGCTGCAACTGAGCTTAAAAAGGTCAGCTGGGAAAAGTCAGGATGGGAAGGATGCTCACTTAATTGACAGATGCAGAGGGGAAGGAGCCAGCCTGGGAGTACCTGCAGCTGGTTTGGGCAGCACATGCTGGACTCCATCTCTGGGCTCTGCTGGCTGCAGCTGGTGACAAATCCTTTGTGGATCACTCCCAGACAGCAGGCTGGGGTCTAAACCTGAAACTGAGACTGGGGCTGAGCACCAAGCAGGGATCTTGTGCAGCCTTCCCTCATCCTGAGGGGTGAAAGTAGGCTGACAGATTTTTAGAGCTAGAGACAAGAAGATAATTTTCTCTCTGGCCTTTACTTACACATCTGCCCAACACAGGTTGGTTTTGATTTCCAGAGTTCAGAACTTGTGCAAAGATTACTTTGCATCTGACTGGATCAGTTCCAGTGTTGTGCCACTGATGTATAGGAATCAGGCAAATAGTGTGCCTGCTGATGCTAATTAAACTTGATATTGATACGGATATGTGACATATTTACTAATGAAGTTGCAAGAGAGGTAGCTGGCTTATATTTCTTATGACTTGGAAAATATAAAGGCAAGTAAATATTTTCCTTTTGGTCAGAATATTGATACACACGTATTTCAAAAAGCTCATATGCAGCAGAAGTGGTGAAACACGTTGAATCAGGTCAAACCCAAATCAGGTTCAAAGGGATCTGAAATTAATTAGGCCATTAAGACAGTTTTCCAGTGGAATTCTCTCTCTCTTTGTACATACACACACATATTTAATATATTTGACAAAATCAATATTTATCTAGGGAGAGGTTCAGTTTTTAGTGAACCATCTCTTTGTTAAAAGTATTATTCTCATGGAAAGCTCTTGACGAGCTCTACCAGTAACTGCCACCTGTTCTTTTTTACCCTTTATGAGCTGATGGCCAGACCTCCTTTAGTATAAGCCATTAATAAACACAGTGTCCCCCTCCATGCCCTGAAAACTTTCCTTTTCCTCTAGTGCAGAAGAAAAACACACGCTCAGGGGTCTGGAAGAAACACAGAGGAACGAAAGCTCAGCTTGCCCATCTCCCTGCCCTAAATCAGAGACCTTCAAGGACAGAGCTGCCACCTCCTCCCCGAGCCCATCTGTGCCATCACACCTCCACCATTGCTGTTAAACAGCTTTTCCCAGTGTCTGAGCTCTCCTGCAGTGGAGAGCACAGCACAGTGTTACGAGGGTTTCTTTCCAAAACTGCACCCAAATTCCAGTCCCATAAGGGCTCTCAGCAGGCACTGATGGCCAGAGGAGCAGCATGCCCAGGAGGCTGGGCACACCCCACAGCTCTTGGCAAGCTCAGTGGTGTCCCCCGCAGCCCCCCAGCCCACAGCTGAGCCCGGGGTCAGGCAGCACTTACAGAAGTGAGGGAAGGGTCCTGTCTCCAGGGAATAAGGAGCCTGCATGCCCGGCTGCATTTCCAACCCGTGTCCTGTCTCTTCAGCAGACTCAACCATGAAGGGAGGTCTGGGATCAGCTCCCTCAGCAGCTCCGGGCTGTTGGAGAAAGAGAGGAGTATTTACATATTACAGAGCAGCATCTTCCCAATCTGTCCTAAGTTACAAATTTACCTCCCAGACCTTGACCAGGAGCTGGGGTTTCCTGTGTTTGCTCTTCGGGCTCCTGTCTCTTTGGAAAGCAGAGGATGTTGCAATGCCAGGGGGAGGGCTGGGGAGGGCTGGGCTGCCTGGGAAGGGCCCTGCCACGCCAAGCAGTCGGTCCAGAGCAGCTCTGCTGACAAGGTGTCTCCTGGAAGCCACTTCTCATCCCAGCTCCTAAAGGAACGAAACCAAGCCAACAACTGCCATCCATACGGTCTGAGCATCTGCCTCAGTTCTGCTTTCCTCCTTCTCTCTGCCAGTTGACTGTTTTTTCTCATCTGCACCAACTCTATCTGCTAACAAGCATCGAGAAGGTGGCAGTGTCAGCCACATCACCACTGAACTCCCATGGAGAGCAAGAATAGCTGCTCTTGCCTCACGGAAGCTGTCTGAGGACAATGGGGGCAGGTGTGAAGGCAGCAATGTTCTGTACACACTCCTGGGCAGTGTCCCTAGCTCTTGCAGGTGACCTGGACAGACCCTTGTCTCCAGGAGGCTTTCAGAAAACAACCAGCCTGTGCTGTGACCGGTTTTTCTGGTGCTGAAGATAGAGCCCCTGGCTTTGTTCCTGTGCTCGCTTATCTCTGTTACATTCTCTAACCATGCATAGACATCTTCGTGTTTGGATTTTGCCAGTCCTGATGGAGAAGAGCTACAGGCAAACAGCATTCCTTTCCCCTGTCTGAAGTGATAATCTTGGTATCTCATCTCCTTGGTGCTCTCCTTCAGGCTGTGTCAACAAGGGCGAGACTGCTCTGCCTCCACTGCCCCATCCTGCACACTGTGTGCTGCCCAGCCCAGCACAGCTCCACCAAGAATTCCTCTGGGGTGCCAGCCAGACCTGCTGGGGGGTTTTAACCACCTCCCTCTTCTAGATTTCTCCATGTTCACGGCAACAAAACACGCAGGTTCCAAAGTGCAGAGTGGTCTCAAGATATTGCCCTCCAGAGACTTTGAGGATCTGGAGCACGGCTGAGATCAGCAGCCAGGGCACTGCCAAAGCCAAGTGAGGCCACACAGCCCCTTCCACATCGGTGCCAGGTGCCAGGACACCTCCTGCAGGACAGGCAGCCACAGGGAGTCCAGGCATGCAGAGGGTGCCAAATCGCTGGTTTGGTTTCGCTCGCATTTTCAGGAAATTCTTAATCCGAAACGACAACAAATTCCTCAGATTCAAGTTCTCATGGAGCTGAAACCCTGCAGGGCAGTCTGGATCGAAGCCAGGAGGTGAGAAAAGAGACTCCTCTTTAGAAATTCAGTGTGCTCCATCAGCCACAAGCATTGCCCCTCTTATATCCTTGCCCTGCTGTGGGTAAGATGGATCCAAATTCCTTAGTTTCTTTATTTTGTTTTTAGCCAGAAAGGGCTGCCCAGCAGTCAGATCACTGCTCAGAGACTCCAGATCCCCTTGAATCTGCCAATGACCTCTCAGATCCACTCTGGCTTGCCTCCCCAGCACCCACAAGCAGTGACATTTCCTGAGCTGTGGTGCTCACATCCCTCTTCCCACCCCTTTCCCTTTCTCAGACCTAACACATTACAGCAGCTGCCAGGGCATGGAGCTGCTCCAGAAATGAATCTCCAGTGTGACATGGCACAGCTTTAATTCCATGACAGGAGCCATAAGAAAGGCTGCAAAACACGGCTCTCTCAAAATCTTAAATGTTCACTTGAGGCACTTTGTGTGGCTGTGAGCAGAAGAAGCAGGACATGAACTCTCCAAGCACACAAAGCGTCCTGTTGATTCAGTCCAGCCAAACAAACTGATGATGGGCAGGACTGTGGGTTCTCATGTGCAAGGGAAGAATTTAGAGTGATACCAAAGGAATTATTTCAGCCCCACGGTGACAATACCCACCCACTTCCTTATTCTGTTTTATTGATCTTGCCCTAAATACATGTGGCTGGAGGAAATGATGCATAAATTACTAACAAGTTAATTTCTTGCTCCAATATAGACGCACAACTGCCCTTTGAAGGGGAACCAGGAAAGACAATGTGTGAAAGGATAAAGGCAATGAGACAAGCTTGGATGTAATAATCCCATGAGAATGATTATTGCTGCAACTAATGTAATCTAATAATGAAGAATTTACACCAGATGTCCCCCAGAATATGCAAGGCAGACTCGGGATTCAGCAGTGGATCCATCTCTAAGGAAACCTTGTTAGGAGGGGGAAAAAAAATGCTGTTGTCTGTTGATCAAATGAGAGGTTGTAGACCTTTATAGTCAGAGTCTAACAAAAGCCTGCCTTGCAAAGCTTCCTGGAAGGGTGCTCAGCAGATCTGATTGTCCATTTGTTTTCAGGTGGAACTGAAGGGGTTGGGTTTGGTCTAGAAAGCTCCTAACAGTCTAGGAGCAGCCAGTTTCAGGGCTGACACCAGGATCTCCCCTGCCTCTCTCTGGAACTCAGAGGGAGATTCTGGGACTTCAGGCTCCAGGACAGGTGAATAAAGAATGGAGAATCACTTACTCTTATTTATTTTGAATTTGAATCCCTTCAGCTCTATCAAGTACATCCTTAAAAGAGTGCTCCATCCCAGTCCTGTTCATCCCTGTCAGATACCAACTGGGCATTGATTTCCATGGCATGTTTGGCAATCAGCCAAACCAGAGACCCAACATCCACATGTCCTCTTCGTTCAAAAACCACTCTGAGCTAAGTGTAAAAACAGGCACAAACCAAACTTTTTACTCTTCCTCCTTGCCTCTGTTGCTTATTCATCACCTATTTGAAGGTATTTTGTACAGGTATTCTGGCTGCACTTCTGGGTTTGAACTGCTGTTCATATTTCCTCTTTAGCAACCACTGTTATCTAAGTAGCTCTGTGGCATGAGGGGGGAAGGGAAGCTTTAGCAAGATCCAGACCCACTAAAACACAAACCACTGCATTCAACTTGAAAGATTTGTTTAAGCCCCATTAACTTAATTGGGACTGAACATCTCGTTCATTGGCTGCTCCCAGAGATCTCTGCAGTGGGCACTGTGTGAGCCTGGTGTGATTGTGCCCAAATTGCATCCCCTGTGCTTCTCCTGTGTCAGGTAGCTGGATGTGGAGGCTGCTTGTCTGCTGAGATCTATCTCACAGGGGCTCTCTGAGCCGAGATCCTGTGTGCTGCTGCAATGTCCTAGCAGGCTGCTCCAAAGGGCTTTGCAAACAGTGACATGAACATAGCTGCACTTAGGACTTGCAAACCCTGATTTTGGCCAGTTTGTGTGTCAGGCATCGCCGTGCCTAGAAACGACTTGCAAACAGGACCAAAGATCAGGTCTAATTTTAGTAAGCCCTTAGGCTCTGCATCCCCTGACTGGGCTTGCTTTGACGAAACACAATCATAGGATGAAAGAAAGCAAAAACCCAGCTGGCACCTGCTGGGAGGGCGGGGAGAGAGAATCTGGCAGGCAGGAGGTTCCTACAGAGATTGCCAACACTACTACACGTCTGATTTGCTTTTTTGGGCAGCACGGTGAATCCAAAGGTGATAAACATTTGGCTTGGCTGGCCAGGAAAGATGTGCCCACATCAGACACTGCTCTCACTCTCCTCTCTGTCTCTCTGCACCTCTCAAGGCAGCTCCTTCTGCTGTGCTTCTCATCTCCAGCCCTCTCATCTCAATCCTCGAGGATTGAGGCTCTGCTGGAGTGAAGCACATCAGTGGGAATAGCTGCTCCCTTGCACAGAGCCGTCTGGCTGGCTGGGCTGCTGCCTGCCAGACATCTGGACAGCCAATTTCACATTTCAGTTTGCAGCACAGTACAAGGATTGTCGTTAGAGGATATGTTGGAATCTCGGGAAACTTAGTTCTCTGTAGGATTTTTAGGACAACATCTTTATTTACAACTCAGTGCCATGGAAAGACAAATGTTTAACCAAACTGGCAATGACTTTTTTCTCCAAATACTTTCAGTGAGGGAGAGTGACTCTGAAGTGGGAAAAACCTTGCTGTTGTCTGGGCAACAAAAGAGGTTAGTAAAGATTCTTGCCTACCCTTTCCCTAGCTCTGAAGTCGTGAAGAAAGCACCACAGCCCAGCTGTGCTCTTGAACCAAAGAGCATTTTGTGTTCTTTTTGCACCAGTTTCTTTCTCTAAATACCCAGTGGTTTCACTGTGCCATGGAAGATGCAGGTCAGCTGGCTCAATACATTCATCACCTGCAGCCTGAGGCTCCTCTGCTGTTAGAACTCAAAATGTCTCTCAGACATTTTTAGAGGTTCCAAGCCTTAGTCAGAAGCATTTTAGATCCTAGCAGGCAGCTATAAACAGCTGTAATTTTGAGTTTAAGCCATAGAATGAGTTACCAACTTTAAAAGTAGAGCAAGCAGTCACAAAAGGTTAAATAATACAATAAAAGTAGTTACAAAACAGAGGAAAAATTTTTTTAATATTATACAAGAGAGTTTTAGCACCTGTACAGGGGGGGTTTTACTTTATACATAGGGGTCAGAAGTTCTAAGATAGAAGAAAGTAAACTAATCCTGTTCTTCTTCCTTCTTCTTCCTTACCTCCATGTCCTTAGTAATGTTAGCACTCACGAATTAGTTTAAAGTAGAAATGCATCTTATAATATAAGTAATAAGCATTAGGGAAAAACTATAAACATGTAATACGTAATATATAATATAAAAGATAGCAGCAGCCCTGGGTGGGGGGAGAGAAAAAGAAAACAGCAGACAGAGAGAGAATGTCAAAGTGTGTGTGTGTCTCTGCCTGGGCCACTGACCAAACAGCCGCAGCCAGAGAAAACAATCTTTTAGATAACTAACAATAAACTGCCTTGAAACCAAACAACAAAAGGCTGCAGAGTTTTTCTTTAGAAGCACAGGTTAGAAGAAAGACTTTACCACCACACAAAACCCCAAACCAAGCCCA